TCTCGTGTCGGGTCACGGTCTCCGGCTAATTACGGTTTAGCTGAATTTGTCCGGCTTTTATGTCAATCAATAGCGGTAATGCATAGATGTTAAATGACTGCATGGGCGAAGTACAGTAGTAAATGGCTTCTGGCTGTGCCTCGGCTGTTGTGGATGTACCCACCCGACTTCCTGTAACCTGATAGCTCCCGGGCCTGTCTTCAACCAGCGCTCCGCTGAATTATTCATGTGACACCGTAGACCTCTGTCCGACACACACCTACATGTTTGTGTGCAAACAGTGACTTTGCATGCATGGACGCAGAGACACGACACGCGTCAATCTGTGTTCAGGACAACACCTCCCAACACACACTCAGTTACATACGCCAGCGGTGTTAATTCCACTTGAAATCAACAGAATTTGGGATTTTGGACATGCCAGAAAAAGACTAGTGCTACAAAATATACTCTGAGTACTTAAACTCTGTTTACACATGGGATTGCACAAGTTGGGGAGATATTTAATTAAAAAAACCTCATTTATATGTAAATGGGTGAAGAGGGAGCGATATAAAAGGAAGTCTTTCTCATGATAAAACTGACATTGTTCAAGATGCAAAACAGCAACACTTGCACAAAATGTGTTATGTTCCCAAACAATTTTAGAATATGTGTGATAAGTCGTTATAAACTCAAGGTTCTTGCTTTATTATGGAGTGTTAGACCGTATCCATAGCGCTGCCGAACCATACAGGAAATAGACTATAGAAGAGGTTTTTAAATGGTAAATGGATAGCTTTACTCTACATGCCACGTTCACACACATTCATGCGCTGATGGGAGCATCGGGACCAATTCGGGGTTCAGTAACTTGCTCAAGGGTACTTGGACACGCAGGCTCAGCTGCCGGTAGCCTTTGAGCGGCACAGTGAATGAAATAACTTTCTCTCCGGTCTATAGCTAGCCAATGTTAACTAGTAAAGATGAAAATGCAGAAACCTAGCCTATTTGATCACGTTGGCATTTATAGTTGACTAATGTATGTAAACCTGCCACCATAGGAACAACACGGGCCACAACTTAACGTATGACGCACACACAGAAATAGCACTACACCTCTGACTGTGTCTCTCAGCCTTTTTCACTGAAGAAAGGTGCAGCATACAAAAATGTACGTTAGATTTGAGTTGAGGACATTTTACCACAGATCCAATATCTGTTCCTCAGCTTCCAATATCACAAGATCTTCTCTGTAATTTCCACTTTTCTTCCATGTAGGCTTAAACGTTGTGATGAAGACTGTGATGTTTTGGGAACAGATACTAAGTGGAGAGATTGTTTTTGATCTTTCAAAGCTTCTGAAAATTTAAACATCTGCAGTTTCCCGACATGGGGTCAATCTGCTGATGACGATCATGTGATACGATTAATCTATCTTTCAATATATATGGTGAATATGTGGTATTTCTGCTTTTCTTGTATTTTAATGATAATAAATGTGACAATAAATCGACACAGTACTAATAAATCCTAGCAGAACAGCTAACACAGAGCTGCATCTGCTCTATTAGTGGACTAATTTCTCCAGTCATCACTTAGAAACGTCTGAGCTAAAAAAAAACACACTGCTGTGAACGAAAACCTGAGCATATCAGAGCATCGCAGCCAAACCAGTTTAACAGTTTTTTGCTAACCGTGCACAGACCATATGTTTCTCCCCGCAGCTTCACGCCCGCTTTGGTGCCAAACTTTTGTTCTTTGTTTAACCTTGCCCTTAAGGTTGTCTAAGTGTTTTTTTCAAACTGCAAATACTGGTTTAGGTAGTGTGATATCCTGTCTCAGCGGGCTCACTGGCACCAGATGGTCTGTGTGTGCATGTGTGTGTACATTTTCATGTCGTTACTGACTTCAGTTTGACACCCCTTTCTGTTTTTTGCTTATTAAAAGCAATCTGTGCCACTGCAGGTTTCATTTAAAAGCCATCTAGCTTGGCTGTTGTGACTCATTTACAGTACACCCACTTTTCTTCTGAGCCTCCAGCCTGACATGAAATCTCTCCGGTCACTCCTTAAAAGCTGCTAGATATCACTTTCTTTTAGCACAATCTTTTTTTAATTAGATTTGCTGAGGTTCCCATTTTATCCTAATAGATATCCTTAAGACTGAAATCAGCCCTGCATTAAAACAATGCAGGGGGCTGCGTTGTTCAAGGTATCGGTGAGACATGAAATAGGATCCAGGCAGTCCAGCTTGAGTAACAGATTAATGTGTTTAAAGGATTACCAGACACCCAAACACCGCACAATGGTTTGTTGGGATTTTACAAATCACAGCAGCAACAATTTTATTGCAACTGAAGAAAATAACGGCGTTCATGTTACAAAGGGATCTACCAGGAAGGTGCCAGAGCAGAGCCAGACGAACTTGCTTGGTTCTCCTGCGTTGACCCCCTTGCTGCAGGGCTACAGGCGGCCTGAACGCGGCCTCACTCAAGTGTAAATCCCATTTCTCTGGCTTCTTCTGAAGCTGTGTTATGATAAAAAAAACACTGCATTCACGAGGAAACATTACCATAAGGAGGCATCTATAAGGTCAAATGTCCACTGTATGGTAGCACTGGCATCAGACACGTTCCAGAGGAATGCCTGACAGTTTTTTAGAAATCACAAAATTGCTGCTCTGCTGTGAAAACATCTGCGCAACACTGCTCTCAAACTCACAACCTGATCTGAAATTCATCGCGTCATTATTATGACAAACGGAACAAGACTTGAAAATGAGCAGCGACCTCAGGAATGCACTGTCGGTGGGTGCGTTCTGGTGTTCCTGTGGAATCAAACTGAAGTTGTCTGCACGCAGTCTGACTTCGCATTGTGTGAATCCTTGAGGATCTGGGAGGAACCCACAAATGAATGTATTTCCTTCCCCTCAAACAAACAATTAAAGTTTGAAACATGCTTTGTGGACATCCATGTTTACTTGTCAGGTTGGTGTGATCACTCACTTTTTAGATGTTTCTACCAACTTAAAGGTCGGGTAAGCAATTCTAGGTAATTCAATTAATTCTAGGTGCACTTTTTTCAAATGGAGTGAAAATCTCCTCACAGCCTGCTAGCTTTACGCTCTGTGTGCACAGAAAACAAAACTGGTTGTACACAGCCCTGGCTCTGTCGGATCGGACCAAGCCACACAATGCTAACTCTGCACTCATGCATTAGCTGCACAGAAGCAGCTTAAGTGACATTATGCTAACCCCCAACCTAGCTAATGGTAGTTACTTTACGTGCTGTGTCGCTCTATATCGAGGTCTTTTTGTCATGTTATTGGATTTCTCCAGAATCGCTTACTGAACTGAAAGAATGATTGTGACTTAATTTTCTATTTGGGAATCAACTGTTCCTCCAATCCTGTAAAGACTTCTTCTTATAGCCCTTGATTTGACTGGGGAGAGTCAGGTGGTCTCATATGGACATTTGGTCCCAGGTGAGGAGCCAGACTAGGCGCTGCAGACTGGCACCTTTGGGAATGGAGTGACTTGCCTAGATATGGGAGAACAGGTTCTCATTTGGGATCCAGGCCCGGAAAGGGAACAAGCAAGTGCCTGGAGGCTGGACCTTCGCCCACGGGGTGAGGTAGGGTAAGGCCCAAAGGCGTCATACAGGGCTGCTGTGTTAGCCTGCCTCCCACAAGGCTCGGTGTAGATGCAAAAGAAACACATAAAAAACTTCTGAACCCCACTAACATGCTCCGTGTTGAAGGGATAGTGGGAGAACTACTCGCACTCGCTCTGCGTATTGTCGCGCTGTCTTGGTAGACGAGCCTCTTCTTTATAGTTTTAAAACAGTGAACTAGAGGGTGTGCTCCGATTATTGGGGAGTTACACTGATACATATATAATAGAACCAGATACTGGACACCAAGATGGTGGCTGTTCAATTCAATGAGACTTTCCCGCCCGGTGCACAGCTGAAATGTTTTCTAGCTTACTTCCTGGTTATGTGGCGACCTTTGTGCAGTAGTGTTTCTTCTGCCCCACCCACGACTTCCCACTCGAGTTCTCTTCTCAGCCCTCAAAAAGATCGAACACAATAAAATAAATAAAAAAGAAAAGAAAATGATTAAAAAAATTCCTAATCAAAGAGAATTGACCTTGTTTGTCAGTTGGAGTGGCAACTGGTAAAAACTGGAAGCAAAGCTGAGGAGCGGCTGTATCCAGTTCATATAATTCATCCATGGTCATACTGCTCAGCCTTCCTGGGAAGGCCAACGCAGGCACGCTGGTACGAAGGCTGCAACTCTTGATATGAAGGTGGCTGTTTTCCATTACTGACTTTGATAGCTGAACATTAACCGGTTCTCCAAGTGCATTAACAAGAAAAAGACCCATCTCCTCAGTTTCTGTTTTGTTTTATACACGACTTTTTAATACTTAATTATTTTACATGCATTACATAATTCACCTTTTTACCAAATTTTATTATTAATAATAATAATAATAATAAGAGTAGCAGCACATCCGAATTCCTTGTACATTCACCCTTACTGTCACTGACAACTGAGGTGATTCTGACTGTTGGTCCTGTAAGGAGTAAACTGATTTTGTGAGTATTTATTTGAATTATTCAACGGACCCAAATGTGTTGAAATGTTCTGAAAAATGTCCCCCTGACTGCTCTTGCACCTGTTTAAAACCCGTAAGCTATCCATGCTTCACCTCTCATTGCCTCTTTCAGCCCATGATCTCCCTCACCACTGTCCTTACAGCGACTGACCCCAGATCAGGAAACACCACTAAGCTGTAAACATGTCCCAGCTGGTGTCTGTTAATGCAAATAAAGTGTGAGCACTCCACATACAGTATGTCGCTGTTATTACATGAATCACATACAAGTGCGGTTACATGGGCTCAGTCTTACATGCATTAGTGTCTGAATCACACTGAAACAACACGTCTGCTGTACATGCAATTGCAGCCAGTGATGGAGGATGGACGGGTGAGTGAGCAGGTCAAGTCTTGCCTTCTTTCCATTCGCCGTGGTACTCCTCGCCATTGGAGTAGCTGAAGGAACCTCGTGTCAGGGTCATGGGTCCTGCTGGCACACAGAAACCGTCGTCACTACCTGGAGCTTATCACCTGATGCTCTGACATCCTGACACACACACACACACACACACACACACACACACACAGAGCTGGGAGAAATAGTGTGTCCACCTTGGGTTAATTGCTAGTTTTTGAACGCTGCAGTGTGTTCACAGCCAGCCACAGAAACTGCCCCAACAACCCGAAACAACAAGACTCTTCACTGCGTAACCCCCACTGGGAAGTCAAGATGCACTGTCATGAAGGACACCCCAACTTTACCTAAACCATGGGCTTTAATCTGCTGCCATAACAACCCCTGCTGCTCTCGTTTCAGGCTTTCTACACGATTGTGGAACCTGGCTGCAGGGATTCGCTCCCATTCAGCCACATGAGCAGTAGTGAGGCCCGACACTGATGTTGGGAAAAAGGCCTGGCTCACAGTTGTGGGACATATCAGTCCTTTAATGATCTTACTATTCATAAAATCATTGTTTAAACGAACTACAAGGAGTTTTTAACTGGCTATGAAACAGTCACTGATGCAAAAGGAAACGAGTCCTTAAAGGAGAAGATTGGTTGTTTCTATAGAGTTATTCTTAATCAGATTCCCCTTGAAATCAATGAAACAAGGTGGTGGAAACACTACCACTTTTGTCCACAGGGGCCGCCAGAAGCTGCTTGTTGCTGCTTTAAGTTGTAAACTGTTGAAACAAGCCCATCACGATTTCAGACTGTTCATTAAAACCCAGTAGGTTATAGAATCATCATATCTGAGACGCTGGAAACAACAAATGTTTGGCACTTGTGGTTGATAAATCACCCAAAAAGAGATAGATTATAAACTACCCCGGTACTTGGTATGTAAATCGTTTGCTACGCCACCCAACTGCTACTGGGAAATGTAGTCAGCTACATGTAGCATTGGTACTGGCTGGAATGTGCCAATCCAGGAAGTGAAAGTGATAAAAATGTATCCTCCTCTGGACAGCTGACGCACGTCAGCGCTGTGAAGTAGGACAACAGCGTATCCTGCAATGACAAGATGTCAACAGTGTGTGCATCTGCATAGAAAACAACAGACCTTTTTCACAGCAGCCCTTTCTATATAAATAATAGGATAAACACAAGTGTTACCAGATAGACAGATAGATACTTTATTTATCCCGAGGGAAATTCAAGTTGATACCAATGATGTTAATTCAGGTTCCAGTCAGGGTGCTGCTACAGTGAATGGAAGAAAATCCTAATTAGTATCATCGGTAATGCCTGTGTTTGCCCTACTATTTCATATTAAAATGGCTGCAGTGAAAAAGGTCTCCGCAGCTCATTTGATGCACGCCGCACGCCACAGGTGTGTTTTTACATTTCTAAATAGCAGTGGATCACCTGGCAGGCAGGGGTGTCCGCACACTTTGGACCACACACTGTAGGGCAGTAACGGGGCAGATAAGGTGTATAACTGCCTCACTGTGGGGTCCCTTACCCGACCCTGGGCCCTACATGACCTGCTGGTAACCCCGCACACTGGCATAGCAGAGGTGTTTTAGTTTTATTAATCTAGTCTTCCCCTTTGTGATGAGGGACCCCCCCCCGTTGTCTCCCGCCTGTGTTTACTGTAGCTGTTTGACACTTTACATTGTCAGTTGCACACACAGCTATGTTTACTGTGCATCTCTGGGGGCTCTCCTCTCCTCTCCTCCTCTCCTCTCCTCCTCTCCTCTCTGTTGTGGAGGTTTTAGACAAAGTGCCGCCGACAGGAGCATCAAAGCCACACTGAGGCTTCACCATCATGAAGGAAACATCTAAGGCCCGTTTATTAGGCTGAATAATTGCTCAAATGCCATCAGGCGCGCTGTCAGATTAGACGAGGAGGAGGAGGAGGAGGAGGAGGAGGAGTGTGTATCCCTCCATCTAATGTTGCCACAGTAACGGCGCCCAAATCCCTTTCATCCTGCCGGCATGACGCTGTCAGCCTCCGCACACACACACCAACACACACACACACACACACACACACACACACACACACACACACACACACACAGGGAGCTGACCCCGGTGAAAGGAAATAAAGACGGTTACCTGTTTTATTAAAGAGAAACTGAGTCCTTTGTCTCTACATCACTGAACGCAGCGCGGCAGTTGGAGGATTTCTGCTCCTCTCAGCGACACTTTCTCCTTTTCCGTAGCTGCTAGTCTCCTGGCAGAGCTGCCTCAGCGTCTCTCCAAGGTGCTCAGATCTGATTGGCTGTCTGTCCTCCACCTCGACTCAAGGCGCCCTCCTATTGGCTGCCGTTCACCGCCGTCCAGCCCTCCGCGGGAGACATCTTTGTCGAGGGCAACGGGTTCAACGACTTAATTAGCCGGAGTGCTCCTCCGTTAAAACGTTTGCCCTTGCCTTTTTTTTTTTTTTTTTTAATGTGCGGCCCAGCGTCTCTGTAGGACCGTAAACCGGCAGCGAGCTCCCGTTAATGACACTGTGTCGTTTCATGTTTCAATTTAGTGATTAGAGCCGCGTTTTGGAGAGTTTTTATGGAACTTGATTTATTGTTTCTCCCTGTGCGCTCAAACAGCTGCACTGAGGCGCTGAGGGTTTGTTAAAGGAGCTGAGATGGATTCAAAGCCAATAAGGATTTCATTCAGTAAAAAGCTGAGAAGGGAAAAAAATAAAAAATCAAGGTGACCCAAATGAGACTAAACTCTGCTGGCCTGGCTCTGTTTCTCAGGGGGAAACCGGGATTAAGCAATATGATACAACCACTGTTGAATATTAATAAACCATGGCCAGTGTCCTCTGTTTCTAGTCATCACTTATCAATAACACCTGCTGTTAATTAATCAGGACTTTTTAAGATTACAGTTTGTTCTGGATAGGAAGTTTGTTGTTTGGTTTGTTCAAATATTGGAATAATATGTCAAATACAACATACAGTCAGACTTCGCCAGAGATAGAACAACAAAGTCCTGGATTTATTTCCATCGTTGTGTTTTCCACAGCAACCTTCATCCAGGTGGAGACATGCACTCAAAGTCTGACATAAGAAATATTAGAAATTGCAAAAAAACAATTGATTAAAAGTAACTAATACAGAAGTTGCTTAATTGCAATTTTGACCTTTTTTTTAATAAACATTTTGCTAATATTGAGCTGTAGATCACTTTACACTCAGCAGTTAAAGAGAGTTCATGCACAATCAGGTGCTTTTCCTCATAGGTGTTTCTGATATTCCTTATGTGCTGATTTGGATGTATTTTCCTGTCAAATTGTGTGTATTTGTATCCACTACCCACCAGCTCAGGTCATACATACTGTAGCCTATATGTGCATTTATTTTCTATAAAAAATAACCAATTAATAAACATGCAATGTATGAGATCGTGTGGTTATAGCAACCTTGGGGAGATTACAGACACATTTTTAGGGTGAGTCCAGTATTTTAACAGCCAGGATGTTATAAATGTTGGGAAACAAAGTGGTAACACTTGCAGGTCTGTAATCCGTTCTGTAGCCATCGCCTACTGAGACAGTTTTTTTTCAGTCATGTGTTTACAGGAGTTGCTGATGCTCCATTTATGTAAATCTTGCAGAAAATTTTATAAAAAATAACGTTGAAAAATTCAAAATTTACATTTTCTTTTCTTTTCTGGGGGATTTGGTTGGAGGAGGAATCCACAGCACTGGAATTCTGAAAAACACACTATCAGTACAAATCCTAGATTCCAGCCATGAACCCATGGGTGGGTGGAAACAGCAGAATAACTGACTGTCAATCAGTTTGATTAGGACCACTCAGAAGGTAAAGGCCACCTTATCCATTACAGGGGAATTTATAGCCATCCTTTATTTAGCTAAGTATGAATATGAGTGATATGGAATGTTTCCTGGTGTGGACGCACTGTGATCCTACAGGACAATGTGTTTACAAGCAACTGCAGGCTGTTTCATTTTTAAAAAACTCAAACAATTTTTGACAACAGTGCCTCCTTGTATAGGCTACATAGGCTTTCTAGTCCACCCTGCAGTCCGTTTACTACCGTGTTGAGAACATATCTGCTCATTTAAACAATGCAGTGTCTTTATGCGCATTGTAAATCCCTGGCACACCCGCACCCTTTGACACACATAGCTTTGAGCCATGGCAAATTTGGAGCACAGGCGCCATGTGCTGTACCCTATATACAACATTAAAACAGACAAACATCCCATTAAAGCACCAATGACAGCACATCCTCGCGCAGAGATGCTGGGAGGGATGGACGGGAGGAGGAGGGGGCGCTTCTGGTGGGTGGGACAAACGAGCGCTATAGAAAGGGGGATGCTGCAGCCCCGTCCCCCTCATATCTCACTCCACCCAGCCCTAGAATAAAAACCACCGGTGACGTGCGCGCAGGGAAGCACCCAGCAGTATGTGCGCGCCCACGGGAGGGGCCGACAGAAAATGGCGAGTCTGTGCAAAAGGCAGCAATGCACGATAGAGAGGCGCGGCTTTCGGCAGGAACTTGACTCTTGGAGGCACAAACTCATTCACTGTGTAGGTAAGCTCTCTTGGCATTGTGTGTGTGCGTGTGTGTGGCGTGGTCCGGGCGGCCGGGGGGTGCCGGGAACTGTGTTTGGGTTTGTTTTTTTGGAGTGGAAAGAGCGCAGAGCCGCGTCCGCTGGAAAACCTATAGGCTCTTATGGAGCTGTCATTTTTTGTTACGCACGGCTGTTGCCTGGCGCTGCCTGCCTCCCACCGGACACAGCCAAAAATATTCAGCCTCAAGTTTTCGGGCTCCCGTCGGGTGTGTCGCCAGGTGTGTCACCTGCACGCTGTGTGTGTGTGTGTGACCTGTGTGAATGTTGACTTTAGTTGCATCCGGAGTGTCGGCGTGTTGGAGCAGTTTTTAGACATTATTCCATAGCTGTTTATTTATTGTAAGCAGTGCATGTCACGTGTGCAGATGGAGCTGCGCCTCAGCCAATCAGCTTCCCCGCTATAGGCTGGCCCGTGCCCGCGTGCGCGCCGCCGGGTTGATTTTTTTTGGTGAGGGGGAGGGCGGTGCGCGCTCTCAATCTCCAAACATGACTCCCCCCCCCCTCCTCCTCCCCCCTCCACTTCCCTGGAAATCGGCTTTTGGGAGCGCGCATTGCTGCATTGGGGGAAATGTCAGTGGGAATAATTTGGTATTTTCGGGGGGAGGAGGTAGGCTGTAGGCGGGGGTCGGCGGGGAGAAACGCCGCGGTGCTCGCCTGCAAACCGGGCTCGGTACTTGTTGAAACGGCGCTCCTGTCTGCGCTGTGGGAACTCTGCGGAGGATGTCTGTCCGGCGCAGTTTGCATTAAGGTGTTTATGATGTGTGCATCTGAATGTGTCTGTCTGTCTCTCTGGCACTGCGGGGACAGACAGCAGACACACAGATATTCAGTTCTGACCTCTCCCTGCTTTTCTCATTAGTTCATGTCGGCTTTAATTTTGGATTTTCTCATCCATACGTCTCTCCCACCCACCACCACATCCTCCCCCCCTCCTCCCCACCAACCCTCCATTTCTGGTGTATTTCATTAGCTCAGTTTAATCCGGTTACATTGACCTATCCCGATGTTATGGCAAGATTATCATCCACTCTTCGCCTCTGATCTCCTAACCTCTCCGGGTTTCCTCGGCTCTCCGCCCGGCTCCTAATCTGGCTTTTATCGCTGGTGTGCAGCAGCAGCAGCAGCAGCAGCAGCAGAGGAGTCGGGGTGTTGCGGCTCCACTTGTTTTTGGATGCACTTCTGTGTCCAGATGTTGACCTGTCGACTACTTACCCATCCGACCGCTTTATGATAACTCACATGTCCTGATTCCGAGTGTAGGCTAGCGGGGCTTTTTAGTAAGAAAACCTCCTAATGAGGAGATGTAATGTTGAATTAAAAGGTTGAGTAATCTCTGACCTCCGGTTGCTGTGATCAGCATAAAGCCATATGGAATCACAACCAGCAGTGTAAACAATAGACTTCTCCTCCTTCATTTTTCTTACACCAGTTTGACCATTTGCTGCATTTGCATTGAGGTTATTACACCGAAATCTGTTTTCACTCATTAAAAGTGAGCTTTAACCTATTTTCTGGCTCCACACCGCCACCGACGAGGCACTGCCTGCTTCATGTCCTGCTTTTGCCTACATGTACGGTCTAATTAGTGCTGTTTTAATGATTTTAGTGGGTCACTGAGTTAAAAGCGGCAGAGGATTAGGTACTGGTCCCTCCCTAAAAGTGTAACACGTTTTTGGAGGGTTGCAGTTACCCTCTAATGAGAAAGACCAGCCTTTAATACACACTGGGTGGATGTTATTTAGGTATGTGTGAGGCTGTAGGGATACTATAATGATACAAAGTCTAAAGAGATATATGAGCGTGATAAATAGACTGTAAGCTCACCATTGTGTACCTTGAATCCATGTAGTAATATCACAGTGATACCACAGGGGATTCAAACACCACAAAGCAGAATAATGAACTCACAGTTGGATGTTACACCTTACTTAAGTTCCATATAGGGTGCTGTGTGTGTGTGTGTTAGTTCGCCATATTTCTCCATTTCTGGTTGTTAACGTTCATTGGTTTTCTATGCGTGATGAGTTTTAGGGCCGAGCGCTGACATGTTTATTTGTTTGACGGTTAATCGGCTCTGAAACTGTGCGAAACTGGAACATCATGAGACGTGTTTGTCTTCTGACCAGCTGAGGAATTTGTTTCCAAAAGTGTCTGCGAGTCCTAAAAGAGAAACAGTTCTTTGAAATGTTGTAAAAGTGTTGCAGTAGTAGGTTTTGTAATTACATACGAATTAATAATGACTCATTTTGTGATATCAGATGAGTTTTGGGCATTTTTATGAAATAGCAGATATCAGTCTCTCGATATATCCATTAATTATTGGTCATTAAAACGCCATAAAGTAGTGAAAAATATCTTGTTTTGTCTGCCCGACAGCCCAAAACCCAAATGTATTGAAGTGAGTTTCATATAAGACAAAGTAAAGCAGCACATCCTTACAAATGAGACGCTGTAACTAGGTAATGTTTGGCATTTTTGCATGAAAAAGGATTTAAAGGGTATTTAGAAATAGATTAATCAATGAGTTGACTAATATTTTCTGCTCTTCAAATCTAAAAGATCAAGCAAAAAGATCTATGCTGGCATGGAAATTAAATCACACTATGTCATGGGCCATACCTTTTTATAACAGCATTGTTATTAAGGACCAGATGATCATTATGTTAGATCTAAGAAGGTCAGGTAACAAAGGCGGACGTCTTACAGCGTATGACAGTTTGCGCCGATGTGAAAGGATGCAGCTTGTCGACACAGCCGGCCTCATCTTCATGCCCCGCGCCTCGCTGGTAATAAAGTAGGGCTCGTATGCCATAGAAAGGTTAACATTATTAGTTGGTAGCAATTACAGCCCAACTGCTGATTCCTTTGGCACATATTCTGGGTAAGAGAGTGCAGCTAATTTGATTGCTGAAAGGTTGTGGCAGTGCTGGGGAGAGACAGACTGTGAGGGAGGGAGAGGGAGAGGTGTGAGTCTGAGTGGCAGATTGCTTTTTTGCTTCCAACACTTCTCACTGGCAGAGCTTCATCCGAACACAGTAATAATGCCACCGGTTGAGCTAAACGTGAGGATCTGGTGACTTATTCCAACTACTGGCAAACATTGTACGGGCCCCCCTAGTGACCAGCAGTCTAAGATAAACAGGTCTGGGCAATATAATGAAGAGACAATATACATTTGTCAACTGGATTCAATTCTACTGATTAAACCTTTAAATATCTGTAATAAGACACAATGTTGGAAATCAGTGAGCAAGACCACCAATGGTCGCCCAATAGTGGAATTTACAGGATTTTAGCATCAGTGTGATGAAGTTGAAGTTAAAACTTGATATTTTAGGTATTTGATTGACTGTTTATGACAGTTTAATTATAGAATTTCCAAAATCGTTACTATAGCGTATGTAGCCTGATGGAAACAACATTTGTAGCTTGTCGTCCATCTTTCTATGTGTTGCTAACTTTTTTAAACTTTATTAATTCATGATTTATAAATCCAGTATTTTCTGAATTCTGAATTTCCCCCTCAAAATGTCTCGTTCTCGCTGACCAAAAGCCTCAACCCCACAGGTATAGAAGACTAAGACAACCAGCCAAATATTCACCTCTGGAATACAGATGTTTGGCATTTTCTCTCGATCAACCAACTGATTAATGGAGTAATTGTTGCAGCTGTATAAGTCACGTCTTTGCCACCTGCAAGTGCTCGTCGCTGTCACATGTTTCAGGTTTACTTCCTTTTGTTTACTGCTGATTAATGAATGAGTTGGAGAGGAATCGTCAGCGTGGGCAGAGTCTATAAAGACAGCAAATGTCTCCTCCTATACATCACATTTAAATCATGCTCTGAGGGATCATCCATTTTGAGTGTTATAAGTGAACAGATATTCCTGATTTTCTATCTATCTATCTATCTATCTATCTATCTATCTATCTATCTATCTATCTATCTATCTATCTATCTATCTATCTATCTATCTATCTATCTATCTATCCCTCTATCTCTCTGTCTAGTCCCTCGATTACCGATGTACTCAAAGTCAAATCCTCTCCTTTAAGTCAACAAAACCCCTCCATCCCTCCACCTCTCCTCCCTCTCTAAGCGGACGGCTTTTATTTCAGTAATGGACAGATGGACGCCCCGAGAGATCTGCCTGCTACTTTCTCATCCTGCTAATTCTTTTCATGGGCTTTTTTGAAAAGGAAAACAAAACATGGCACATTTATCGGGAGCTGGTGGGGAAAGTGGCAGCGATCCACCCATTTGACTAGACCGGGTGCCAACACTGTAAATCTCTGAGTACCCTCTTCTTCATTACACATGCACACGCACACACACACACACACACACAATCACATACATTACTGTCGAGCAGGGGTGTGTGTGTGTGTGTGTGTGTGTGTGTGTGTGTGTGGAGCTATCTCGGGGGGCGATCCATGCCAACCAGGAGCCCCGTGGGAGGAGGGTTGCTCTCTTTGGGGTTGGAGGGTTGGTGGTGTGGGGGTTGACTGCAATCTGTGGAAAAGCAAAATACACCACTGGCACTGAGTGAGTGTTGACAGAAGGTGTGTGTGTGTGTGTGTCCACTCAGCGCTCTGCTCTTTTCTAGCGCCGTCCTGCCTCACGTTCAAACACGCTAACACACATTCATCTAAAGTGCCAGAAGGATTCAAACCGTTGTGGTTCGGTCACACACCTGCTTCTTTTATCCTCTCAGCCTGGATTTCTTTCTGAGGAGTTAACTATTTCATCTTGTTTTTTTGCCGGCCGTTGAAACCCTAGTCAAATATTTCAGAAGCAGGGTGTGACAGCTTTTAGAGAACAAACTAGTTTTGAGTCGCTGACGTTCTTTTTGTTTTTAAGCTTTTATATTGAGCTACTTCTTTGTTGTACTTTATTTTATTTTGCAGTTTTCCTCCCCTGAGACCGTCCTGGTGTATCCGGGGGGGAATGGGAAGCTTT